GGTTATCTGCCTATCTTGTTTATGAAATTTGGGGCTGCCTCTCCCGCACAGTATGTTCGCCTCTCGAATCTTCCCCGGTTCCCATTTCCATATTTCTGCGTGCTTCTTCTTTGTTAATCACTTGGCAAGCGCTTATTTGAATATTAAAAATTTCTTTAATCATCAAACGCAGGAGCACAGTCTCATGAATATTCATATTCTCCCCCCTCCTCAGACTGGATTCTAGTTCATTACCCTGCAGTAAAAGCCAAACAGCCATCAATCGCCCTCATTACTGGCTCTGGCGTTTTGATTGGCTGCCTGCTGCCCATAGCTTTTTTTTTTTTTTTTTTTAAATTTCCCTTCGCCTATGAGCTGTCTTATACCTGCCAACAACTTAAAAAAAAAAAATCAACAATGCAAGAATAAATTTCTCTGGTTGAAAACAACTTAGCAAACTTGTCAAACAGCCCTTGTAGCGCGCTGGTCCCTCCCTGGACACTAGGACCGTATATCTCTCTCCCCAGTCCTCCCGGCCCACCCTAGCCCCCCCAAACCAAAAACCAAACAACAACAACAACGACGACGACGACGACGAAAACCCTACCCCAAAACCGAAAAAAAAGAGGGGGGGGAGGAAGAGATAGAATTAAATAAATAAATAAAAAAAGAGAAACTTGAGCCTCAGAGATGAATATTTGTCAAGAGAGTTGACGTAAGTTTCATTTGCATAATGACTTTGTACTTCTGCATTAATAAAATTTGCATATGAAGCCATGTTAATTACTCCTGATCATGCTTTTTGCATTCATGCATAGTAATTTTCTCCGACTTGTGAGAATTAATGTCTTGGCACGAGGGGGGGGGGGCGGGGGAAGGGGCGCGGGGACTGTCAGGTTCCCTCGCCAGAGTCCCTCGCTCACACGCGCTGGCGTGGCTGTCTGTCTCCTTTGATCTCTGACTCATTTCTGCACCATCAGTAGGAGTTCTCGCCTTTAAAAAAATGTATCCGTTGAAAGGCACCGGTAGGGAGAAAAATAGACCTCTCCTCACGGTGTGTGCCAGGCCAGCTCCCGGGCTAGGAACATGGAATCTGCCACCTCCCGATTGCAGAGTGGCGGCCCGAGGATGCTGTACCAGAAGGCTGCAGTGGGAAGACTTGGTTCCCCTCAACCCGGACTGGGCGGTTCCAGGCATTTTTTTGTGTGTGTGTGTCTACACGCTCTTGGCGGTGGGCGTGTCGCTGGTTAGTGCGCATGTGCAGGGCATGGAGCCCAGCATCTGCAGGGACTGCTTGCGAGGGAGGTGGGCTTCGGGCCCCGCTCCGAGTACTTCACCCCCAAGAAGGTATCAACAGTGATCTTGCCCCCTGTTTGGGTTTTAGCAAACATGCCACAGGCCTTCTGGGGAGACTTTTGCATAGTCTTTCGTAGGTGGCACAAATACCAAGAAGGCTGCCTAACCTTGACTTTGGAGCCTCGTTTCCACGTGTTTGAGAGGGGCAGTAAATATATCCCTGTCCCATAGGAAGGCTTTACACCATGGCATAATACAAGTATCAATTTTTCATTTCTTTCCTCCTAGTTAAAACATACCTTTATGATAAAAAATTGAGCCAGCTAGGGTTTCATTACTAAGGGGCTGGGCTCCTAGACACTGAAGTAGTGCCTGCACCCCTTGACCACATACCTTGCTGCGCCTGGGTCTGTTTGGACTGGGTTAGACTGCAAAAGCAAGTGTCTTTTACAAGAAAATTAAAAAAAAAATTGTGTTGTGCATGTCATTATTGTGTCTGTGTGTACATGATGAACGTGGGTGGGTATGTGTGCTGTGGAGCATGTGTGGGGCTTGGAGGACCATTGCGTGGATTAGTTCTCCTTCCCACCTTTATGTGGGTTCTGGGGGTAAAACCCTAACCTGCTGAACCATCTCACAGACCCACATCTTCAGTTCACTGTTTTGGAAGTGCTGGGAACGGAACCCAAGACCTCACGCATACTAAGAGACCGTTTACACTGAAGCCCAGCCCAGAGAGCTTGGGAGAAAAGGTGTCCTGGAGAGACTTCTAGGGTGCTTCCCTACTGGAACAGGCAGGATGCTGTGAGAAGGATGCAGAGGGAGAAAACAGAAAGCTCCAGGCCTGGAAATAAATGAGGTTTCGGAGTAAGGACAGTAGTGGCTGTGTTTATTAGGTGGCTGGCTCTGGCTGCATGTTGCCTGAAAAGTGACCACCTTAGGTCACATGCTAGCAAATGGCCGAGGAGAAATCTGAACTCATTTTTCTGTTTCTGTCCAAACCCCTGTCAGTCTGTCTTTGTCTCTGTTACTGTCTCTTCCTCTTGAGTATGTCAGGTGCATAATCTGTTAGCAGGTCTCAGGAGCTGCCTGTGTTCCAGATTCAAGGCCAGTATTCCTCCCAGTAGAAGGCCGAGGCTGGGAAGTGGGCAGGGACAGGCCCAGAGACATGGTCCTCATCGGTAATTTTCTTTTAGATAGAAAGATTCACATATTGTGAAACTTGCTCAATTTGTCCCATTTGTGGCTTTGGGTTTATGTACAGTGTTGCACAGCTATTACTACTGTTTAATTATCACACCCCCAAATGACCCTGTAACCCATTGGTTCTCAGTCTCCACTGCCCCCCAGCCCCTGGTAATCACTACTCGGTCTGCATGGTTTGCCTGCCCAGGAGCTCCTCAGAGAATTATAGGATGGTGGCTTCTCACTCAGCTTTCGTGGGGCTGGATGTCAGAGGTACCTCTGTGTGCAAAGCTCTGAGATGAGCTGTGTCTAGAGGGGACTTCCTGTGGGGAAGAGGTTGTTTTAACAGTCCCATAGGGGACCCACACCCTTATGCCCTTGGAGCAGGTAGACTCCAACGAGGTCGTCATGTCTGATGAGGCCCTGTGGCCACCTGTCTAGCCAGAGTGTTACCACCTGGTGTGGGTGTGTGACTTCATCTCGACAGACCCTGGAACAGCTCTGGTGACATCCTTCCAGGCTGAGGCAGCATGACATCTCCTTTCTGCTCCTTGGCCATTCTTCCCATCAGAGTCTACTCTGAGGAGCTCCTGTTGGCATTCAGCCACGACACGTGGTGCTGGCTGAGTTAGGGCCCTCTGTAGAACCCAGAAACCTGCTGCTTTCACTGATGGATGTGCTGAGGTCTCAGGGGCTCAGTCTTTCTCCACCCCCATGTGGCTCCTGGCTTCAGGATACAAGGTACCCTGCTCACTCTACCTACCCCCGGCTGCAGGCTTTGGAGAGAGACACTGTTGCATTCATGTCCTGCCTCTCCAGTCGTCTCACTCCGTTTGGAGTGAGAGGTGGCCCTCCCTGGTAAGCACGGTGGTTGTCTTATCACTTAGTGCAAATTCACTGCCATGGCTTCTGGTGATCCTGAGCTCTCCGTGGTCTAAAAGGGGGACCTACCCAGGGAGGGATTCAAGGCCGTTAGTGGACAGGGTGAAGTACAGTGTCCGATGCAGTGGGCTTTGAGGCAAGCACTGGCCTTCCAGGGGAGCTGGGTGGCACTGGCCTCATATTGTCTTTACTTGAGTCCCATAAGAAAACTGTGGTGTGGCTTTCTGCTCTATGTTTGGCACTGGAAGCATCCTTGAGCTTATTGACCACGCCTTTCTGGGGGGGATGTGCCAACCCGGGAACATCCTGAACATTTGAGTATATCACTACCTCCGTGGGATCCAGTAGCGTCAGGGCTGGCACTGGCTTCTTGGCTGGACATCAGTGAGCTTTGAGCTGGGGGCGCTTCTCAAACGCCCTGAGTACCTTTAGCCTTCACTTACACATGGGCAGTGGGATTTTGAGGAGACCCGCGGCTGTGAAGGCTTGCTGTTTCTGCGGCTATGGCAGCTCTTTGGGTCTGTGCAATGGGTGTCCTCCGTCTTGTGCCCAGGAGCATGTTAGAAAGCTGGATTGGAGAAAATTGACAGGGTCTGCCTCCCAGTAGGCTTGCATGGTTCTGTGGCTCTCCTGGGAGGAGGGAGTTCCCTGTGGTGGCTGTGGATGCCCACCTGTGCAGATCTGCAGGTGCCAGGAGGTGAGTCTTCGGCCTCCCCTGCAGAGCTGGTGAGGCTTAGCTGCCCATCATCTTGTGCATATTTTCTTGTCTCTCTGATGCTTCTCTGCTCAATTATTTACCCAGGGAATTTGGGCTTCTTCACTTGTGGTTTTGGCAAGGCCTTCACACAAATGTTTTGCCCTGGTGGTCTCTTAACCATGTAAGATAAACGGCCAAATCAAACCCAGGTCTTGCTGGCAGTGGAGGTTCACTGTGGGGCTGGGTGGAGGCAAGGCAGCGGCCCCCCAACCCTCCTGCTCATTGCTGTCACTGGCTGTCAGATGAGGGAGTGGAGACTCCTGAGCCAAGGTGAAGACATTAAGAGGCGTCTGGGCCGTGCTAGGTTTTCTTGTGGTAGGGGAAGGAGGAAGAAGTCAGGGCATCTTGTGGGCCACTGGGGCTTCGGTACTGCTTGCCAGGGTCTGGAGAGAGGCCTCAGGTGATCAGCTAGGCAGGAGGCTCATCAGTGTCCAGACCCTTGGAGGTAGACTTGAGGTGGCTCAGGCCTGTCCAAAGAACCTGTCCTGATACAGTACAGCTTCCTGCCTCTTACAAAGAGGGGTCGCTCATCGCTTGAGAGAACAAATCCTCAACTGAAGCCTTCTCTGGTTTGTTCCAAAAGACCCCCACCCAGGGACTCTTAACTGGGAGTGGGGGCCCTGACAGGCCTTCTGTGCCTTAACCCCCTGCACTAGGCCCCTAAAGGCAGAGTCCCTCAGAAACTATGTGGCAGCTGCAGGTGTAGCTTCTGCTAATGTCCTCTGACCCCTTCTCCCTTGTTCGGGCCCCAGTTGCCATCCCCGTAGGGCTAGTATCCTTGGGGCCAAACCCTCCTGGAGGCTGTACTGTAGCCCTGTGCCCCAGGCCCCCTCCTGTGCCCCAAGCCTCTAGTACAGTCCAGGGCCCAACTGACCAGTCTTTTCTATTGTTTTTTCTCCAGGGCCGTGCAGGCCTGCCCAGCTGCCAACGATGGCCCCCATAGCTGCCTCCTCTTCCCACCCTCCCACATCTGTGATTACTTCACCTCTGCGTGCCCTGGGCGCTCTCCCACCCTGCTTCCCGCTGCCTTGCTGTGGCGCACGCCCCGTCTCGGGCGACGGGACTCAGGGTGAGGGTCAGATGGAGGCTCCCTTTGGATGCCAGTGTCAGTTGTCAGGTAACAGAGCCGCTGCGGTGGGGGAGGCGGGCTCCCGGGATGGCGGGCTGTGCCCTGGGCAGAGCTGGGGACCCAAGGTGGGGTCCCAGGGGAGATGTACCCCCCACACACACTGACGCCTTTTGGGGGATGGCAGCGGACGTGGCAAAGGGTGTCAACCGAATTGTAAACTCGTGCCGGTTCCCAGGGGCTCAGGGGCCCTCACCTTCATGTGTCCCCTCACCCCCAAATTCTGAGAGTCTCACTCCCAGAATGCACTGCCCAACCTCCAAGTTTCATCTCTTTGGGCTGTTTAGCCAAAGTTTAATTGGATAACACTTAACATCTGAGGGAGGTTTTCTTCTGCTCCTTGCCTCGCCTGCTCTGCCACCCACCCCAGACAAGGGTAGGAGAGGATTCCTGGGTTGTCTGTGTACAGTGCCGGAGCCGTTCAAAATGCTGACTTTCTCTTTGGGACAATGTGTTGCCCATTAACTTAGAGGGAAGGAAAAAAAAAAAAGTCGTCCCAAAGAGGAGCCTTTAAAAAAAGCTGTGGCCATGGGTAGCAATGAAACATTGTGGGCGTCTGGGGTGGAGACTGAAGGTTGGTAGCTCTGGGCAGACCCCAGACCTGCTTCCAGTCCCCTCTGCTGCTGTTGCAGGCCAGTGGAGCTGCCTGTTACACAAAGGGAAGCCACAGCCAGGTGCTGACGGTGCCTCCACTGCCCCTTCCCTTGCTCTGTCTCCCGGCAAACACACAGCCGTCTGTGGCTTGGGGTCCCCACAAGGTCGAGGAGAGAAGGCCCTCCCTGCAGCCTCTTGGTGGGGCCTCGTTTGCAACACACTGTGGCTTCGGGAGCCAGGATGCTGACACAGACTCACGTGGCGAGCAGCTGTGGCCTGGTTTCCGTGGCCAGGGCCAGGGAGGGAGAGGGTGGCTGCAGCGCTGGGCCACGTTCAATTTGCCCCTGTTTCATTGCCAGGCACGTTGCAAGCTTTCTCTTGACTCAAGCTGGGAAAGAAAAAATACTCTTATTGGGCAGGTTTTGCTTTTCATTTGACACTGTCTCAGGGACCTCTCTTACTGGAGATTTGGCTTTGCACACGGCCACAAGTAGCCCCTGCTCCAGGGTAAGACCTCCCTGGCGTCTCTACCAGTGGGGTGGTCTGCAGCCGTCAGTACCCCCCCCCCCCCCCCGATATTCCTGCTATGACAGGTGGTTATGTCATTGGCTCTGATATCCAGGACCAGGAGTTCTGGTTCCTTACTGGGCTAATGTCTTGAGTGCATAAAGTAGAGGCCAAAAATCCCCCAGGGAAGAGTTGAAAGAGCTTACAAGGCTTCCTTCCTGGCTAGCCTGCTTCCCAAGGCTTCCTAGCCAGCCTGATCCCCAAGGCGACCCAGGATTCATGGAGCTTGGAAGATCTGTTTTGGGAATCTGTGGGAGACTCTGTTCACCAAGCTTGGAGTGCCTGCTGGTCAGGGCAGCTGACCTGTTCTCTGGATCCCTGAAATGCGTGCTGCGGCCTTGAAGCCCTGCACCCACTTGGGTGGGGGGGGCTGCACTTTCAAAGATCAGCCTGAGTGTTTATGGCTAGACTCGGTCAAGTTCTGCATGTAGAAACATGATCTCTTTGTCTCCTGTGCCACTGGGGTGTGCTTAACACTCTGCTGGCCCTCCTTAGGAGCTGCCAAAGTGGAGGACTGAGTTGCCTTTGATTTGACAGGGCTCTCCTGGTACTTTTGGGTCAAGTGCCGAGCAGGAGCCATTCCTGTCCCCATTTTGTAAGTGAGTGGGAGGGGCAAGGACTGGGAGGCCACGGTTGAGCCCCCTTCAAGAATTGGGCTTAGTCCTGGGGATTAGCTCAGTTGGCCCCACGACCTCTGCTTGGACGCAGTGGAGGACAGACAAGGTCCACAGGGTTCTGGCAGCTAGGGGAGTCTGCTGTCTGTCCTCACTTGTTTTCTTAGCGTAGCTATCCGTCGTGTACTAGGCATGTGTCATGTGCTTTACTTTCCCACTTTATAGGTGAGCTTCAGAGCCTCAAGTCTCACAGCTCAAACTTGCTCATTCCTTAGTTCACTGTAGGCCCTTAGGCACGTGGTTGGTAGGCCGTGTGCAGACACAGGCAGAGTCAAGTACGTGGGTCCCTTGCTTACCTTACAGCTTACAGTGTGGGCATGGAGGTCTATCCTGAGATGGATGGGAGGGGAGGGAAGGAGAGGGAAGACCATAGAGAGGAAGTGGCTCCCATCTGACACTTGCTTCATCTGTAGTACGAGGTCACCGTGGACTTCAGGGCCCTGTCCGTGTGTGATGATTGTGGTGCTGGGGACAGAGGCAGCAGTGAGGGTCTGAGCCCCGGGACCTCTCTAGGAGCTGGCTCCTGAGGGATCTGCTGTTTTTCTTCTTCCCATTCTTTGTCCCATACCCGGTGCTGTTCTTAGCCATGTTTCTGCCTTGTTAACTTAGCCTGCATCAGGCCGTACCGCTGTGCTGCATTTTCTGATAAATTTTGACACAGTCAAGTGTCTTCTTCCAGTGGATTTTGTCCCTTTGGTTCTGTTCCTGGCACTGGGCTGTTTGCTGAAGTGTTTTTAGTGCCTGTTTAATTAGTAGCTGCAGAGGAGGCATAAAGTCGCCAGGAACCCTCGAGGAAGGAGGGGCCACAAAGACCGAGCGCTGCGGTACTCAGTGCGCTCCGTCCCTCTTCTGATCAGGGCGCTTTGAACCTCTCTCTTCAAATTAACTCAGGAGGCCTGAGCTTCGCACAGGTTAATTGCATGCCCACAAACACACTCTGGGTTATTTATAGAAGGTGTGATTTCACAGGAGAGAGAGTTACCCAGATACACCCAGGCCCTGCTGAGACCCCTCACCCATGCTTCTCTCAGATGCTCACAGCCAGGAGAAGGGGCACAGGGGCCCATTGTCCTGTGGATTCTGCAGAGCTCCTATGCGGCTTTGAGTCAAGGTGCTCTTGGCAACTGAAAGATCATCTCTCAGAATTATCAAGGTGGCTCTGTAATCAAGAGCCACAGCCAACTGCCCTGCCCCGTGCCATCCAAGGACCAGAGGCCTTGAACATGTCATTGTCCTCTTTAAACCTCACCCCCTTTCCTGTCCCCCCCCCACATATATATGAATGTAATAGTGAAAAGTAATGCTCCGTGAGTGGATCTGTGGACTAAAACGGGTTGGGCTTTTGTGGGTCTGGGCCCGTATAGAGTCTCCAAGGCAGAATCCAAGGATACTCAAATGACAGCTGAAAGTTACTGGACTCCATCCTGTCCTCAGTCCTTCCCTGCTCCGAAGGCATCATGATCAAAAAGTGGCCTTCAGAATGTATCAGGCTGCCTTAGTGAGTGACATACGCAGCTAGCCATGTGGCCTCACCCAAGTCATTCCCTGTCCCCTCTGCTCCTCCATTCTCTCATCTGTGAAATGGGCATAAGTATAGGGCATGCTCTATGGTTTGGAGGATTTTTCGTGAGGTCATTTGGGGCAGATATTCAGAACAACGCTCTGCATGTAACAAGCCCCACAGACGGTATGATTCATATGCAGGCAGAAGGGGTTTCGCAACCTGATGGCGTTACGTATCTGGCACTGGGTGGGAGCTTCCTTTAAACCGCATCCCTGGTTTCCATGCTTAAAAGCATTTAGCCTCTTGGCTAGCTCCATCATGCACCAGCGTTAGGAGGTGGAATGGGAACTGGGAAACTTCATTGCATATTTAGAAGCTGTAAATGGTCATCAGCCAGAGTGATTAATGCATGTGCTTGGCGAAGTTCAAGGTCTCACGCAAGAACACACAGCATCCAGGCTCAGGGAAGTGGAAGTGTTTGGATTTAATAGAGGGAGTCAGTTGCAGTCATTAGTATATGCTGAAATCACAGGGCAATCTTGTAAAGTTAAATTCAATTTACTTTTCTACTGAAATTGTGCTTGCTGTGTTATTTAACTAGTCTGGGGTTTCTTGGCATGGGTTAAAGGGACAATAAAGATAAAAGAATACCTGTAAGTAAATAGTAGGCTTTAACAGTAGAATCTATCGTTTTCTCCTCCTTCAATTATATCCCAGTGTTCGTTTTGTGTTGGTTTTTATAACTGGAGCCCTCCAATGGGATGCCTAGGTTTAGACCACCCTAGCTGTGGAGGCTTGATGCAATTAATACAGTCTGTCTGGAAAGTGGCCTTATTTCTGGAAGTTTTATGTTAATGATATGGTCTGCGCGCTGCACATTTCATACCAAAATGAAGATGGGGCTGGAGTTTCTTTCTGGACTGGGTTTGATTAGCAGTAGGGGCTCACAGGGCAGCCGCTTTCCTAGGGGACAGAGGTTGGCAGTTCTCCTTGGTCTGCACTGCCTGGTGGGTGTGGTGTACTGGGTGCTGGGTGGGGGACATTTGAGCCTCCATGGAGACCAGAAGGAGGAGGGCCATGAGGGTGTAGTAGGGAACTGAGTGTGAGGGAGGTGTGTGACGAACCTCTGGGGACAGGTAGCAGACACACGTGTAGGCTCCAACGCTTTTGGGGTGACGGGTGCTTTCTGAGCTCACCAGGTCCTGTGGCAATGGGGCTGGCTCAGTGGAATTATTAAAAATGTAGAGAGCCCTACTGGGAATGTAGTTCAGGTGGTAGAGTGCTTGCCTAGCATGCATGAAACTCCCTAGTACCACGTCAAGCATGTTATTCTCACGCTTGGGAAATGAAAGCAAGAAGATTAGAAGTTCAAGGTTATCCTCAGCCACACATCAACTTCATAGGTCAGCCTGGGCTATGTGAGGCTCTGTCTCAAAAAAAAAAAAAATTCAATTAATCATTTGTCCCCTCACAATGTCTATACAACAAAGACATTGGTGGTCTCACCCGACGACTGACATTAACGGCATGGTTGGCAGCTCCTGGCGGGCTGGTTCCTTGGACTGACTGGTGTCTATGCCATCTTGGGACGGCCCCACTGCAGCTGCTGTCTCCCAGTGCCTGCCCAAGACCTGCCCGCTATCCTCCTTGAC